CATTGCAGGAACTTAGAAGTATTCTAATATATATGTTAGATGTACATTAAGTAATCAGCTTAATTATATCAGGTTAGATCTAAATAAATAATGATTAATTAATATGACATTCACATATTATATGTACATATATATACATGTACATGAATATAACTAATAATAAACCAAGGGAGGAGCTTAGGTGAACCTTGATGAACCATGATACCTTTAGCAAAAAAGTTCATTCTTAAGAAGAGGTTTTTTGAAATTTTAGAGTCAGATTTTATAATTGATAAATTTGTTGCATTAAAATTTTTGGAGGGCATATAATTGCCCTTTTGGTTTTTTGAACACTGAAATCCATTCTGATTGTGGTGAGGGCATGTGCTATAGTGCACTCGTTACAGCTCTGCATGGCCAGTTAATTAGTTTTTATGTGTGAGTGGGTAGGGGTTAAAATTTCGTAGGTAAAAATTAACCACAAAATTAACGAAAATTAAGGTACTTTTGGATGAAATTTTAATATTTTTTAAATTGATGCCATTTTATAGGAAATAAAAAGTTGTACACGTTGTGCTATTTTAAAATTTTTACCATACCCTGTATATAAGTTATAGATCATTGAACTTTAAATATAACAAAAAAAAAATTCCTGCATAACTTTTCATACTTTATGAACTTACTTGTTGCAATTACTAAGCAAATTTATTTCCCTTTTTTCATTGTAGATTCAGTTGCAGTTGAAGCTGATATTCTAATTTGCCTTGTGTACAGTGGCATTTATCGGACATGGATTTTAACATATAAACAACCAGCAATTTATCATTTTATTGATTGCATGTCATAACACTACTTTTTTCTATTACCTGATGGAGTTTTGTTATCAATAATAATTCTGTTCATTTTGTAGTGATTTTTAAAGTACCATTTCAAGAAAGTCAAAGCATTAATGTTTAGCAATGAATATGTGACCATAATTGACAAAATGGCCCTTATGGCGGATTTTAAAATTGATAGTTTTAATGGAAAATATCAACCTGTGATTGCTTTGTTAGACAATCATTGTTTCTAAAAGTTTCATGGTAACTTTTTGCATCCTGTGGAGTAATTGTATGATAAATGGAGCTCAGGAAGTTGGATTTTTTAGGCTAGAAAGACAAATTTCACTACCCGCCATAAGGTACCTTTTGTCAATTATGGTCACATATTGTTATTGCACTAATGAATATACATACATTAACTATGAATATCATTAATCTTCTTATGAATATAGTTTAATCTGACGTCATCCTACATGCTAATGCGGAAGTCACATGACTTCTGTGAGTATATTCATGGCTTTTGGCAGTAAAGGGCTGGGTGTGCCATGTCACTGAAATAAAGATGGCCGTCAGTCCTGTTTGATTCACTGTAAGCTCCTCCTCCTTCAGCTGTACGCGCGTAAGGGAAAGCCTCTATCTCGGCATAGATCTTGGCCCCTGGTTCTCTAAAGTACAAGCTAAAGCCACAAATTGAGCAATGCTTTATACTGACATGGTAGCTATCTTATTGACTTTGATTGTAGATCTAAATGCAAAAGCAGCAGAGATCACTTTTTCCTTAGCAAAGAGTTTCCAGACCCGCTGGTAAGTTTTGTGATCAAATGCACACTTTATTTCTTTTTAAAAAGGAATACACCTGTGAGTTAAGCAACAAATCTTTGATATTAGGGACAAAGTCCTTGTGGAGAGGGTCTGACTTTTGAAGACGGTGGTGATTCACTATTTTACTATTCTAACTTGCAACAATATCCTGTTCCAATTAACTCTATACTATCACTAGTTTTGACAGATTAATCATTAAAATTATAACATTAATACTGTTTTATCTGTATAATCATATTACTAGTTTTAAAAATAAGAATATTAAAAAAAATTGATCATTAAAAAAACAACATAAAACAATCAGTAAATAAAAACAAAAAATTGTAGAGCTGTTAACTTTGTACTAGTAGTAGTACTTTCAGCCGAGTTTTTACGGACCTATTAAGGTACACACACATATAACTTCAAGTTTAATAACATAAATCTACATGTTGACACTCTAAAAAAGGTAATGTGAT